GCCAGGCAACTTGCTGCTTGTCACTCGCTGTTTGGTCTCTAGCCCCCCCCCCCTAATCATTAGCTGAGGGAATGATGATGTATTCAGCCTACCAGTTTTGCTAAAGAACATTATTAGAAACACTTAGAATAAGGGATAGAAAACACACAGATAATTTAATTCTCTGTTGAAGATGGTCATAGTCCAGAAACAGCATGGAAATGGTTAAGAAGTTTTTATTTTTGGCGACGAGAGAAAACACTTTTTGTTCTGATTCAGAAAGTAGCCACAGCACTGTGCTTCTTTTATTACTCCTAAATTTCAAGGAAGGGGCATTGGGGTGGGGAGCAGGGCTACCTCCTTTAGACAATGCTCTGTCTTATCAGGGCACACTGCTGTCTGGTTTCCTGTCTCTGAGCTCTGGCTTGACTGCTTAAGATGAGAAGCAGAGTCTGGGCCTAAGCAAGGGCAGACCAGGCCTGAAATGAGAACACCACACATCATCCTAATCCTCTTCCATTTCCAACACCTTCTATGGGGCATCTCTCAGAGAATATCACTTACAAGAAAGCCAGGTATTGTTTGAAGATTCTAGGGTCCCCCCCCCCCAATAAAGCTAGAATCAATGATAAATGAAGCACTTCAGAAGAGTCCAGTTTCTAGAATAATGTAATTCCTATTATTTAAAGGATAAGTTGCTTTATTTATTTTTCTTCAATGCAACTGGGTATAAAAACAGCATGAAATATTGTCCAGGAAGGCTGCCATTTTGGTTGCAAAAGTGTAGATTTGGAATTATTACAAAGAAACGCAAATACCTAAAGGGGCAGATGGAGACAACGAATTAAACCAGGCACAATGTAAGTTATATGGTCAAGAGATGAAACTATCCCCATGTTTTGTAATTACAGAAACTATCAAATAGTCTGAACTCCCTGAACTGCTTAATACAGCATTTAAAAGCTTGCAGAATTTTTGATAGAATATATCAGATCCTAATCAATCCTATATTTCCGACCACCCCTTTCCCTCCCAAAGCAGAAAGATGGTTTGGGGACAGCCACATAAAGATTGTCTACCCAATCTAGTTGAACTGCTAACTTTGGAACTAAAATAAAAAAATCTGCTTCAATTTGGATTACTTATGAACTTCAGTTTAAAGGTCTCTTGTTCTACAAGTCAGCTTAATATTTCAAGTTGCTCTTCCCAAGGGTGAAGAGAGGGGGAGCAAAACAAAACAGAAAACACTTTTCTAGGCCTTTCTAAGATGGCCATGTTTTTTCAGGGAAGGTACCATCAGCCTAGCAAATTTTCCAGAATCAGCCTAGCAAATTTTCCAGAATCATTTTATACTTTCCTTTTGTATATAGAGGAATATGGTAGGATGGGATATTTAAAACCAAAGTTCCATCATCAGTATCTGGGAGTTCAGGCCTAATTTTGTGTTTCAGCATCTCTTTGAATTAATTCCATTAGAGACCACTATAGATCACTCCTTTAGATTTTAAAGAAAATCCCCAAGTTTGAAAAAGACACTTGCCAAAAGTTTTCCTTTCCAACCATTTCTTTTAGAACATTTTCTGAAAAGCCAAGAACTTGTTGCAGTAGGTTTTAAACAGTTCATCCAGAGATTAACCCACAACATGATGACTAAAAAACAAAAACACCAACAAAACAAAACTGGTTATTATGAAAAGATAGTCACGGAAAAAAGATAAGCATACTCCTTTTATTTTCAAAATACACGATTACAATTTTCCAAGCCATCTTTCAAGGAAATGCCTCAGTGTCAGCTTTCCTTTTCCTTAAGCTATTCACTCTTATAATTGGTACAAATCAAATCTAGAATAAAGTAAAATCCTTGCCCTCAAAAAATCATTCCCCCCCCCAATATGTGTTATGCTTTGTTTGAATGATTTTTCTAGAGATTTCTCCTTCAAAATATACCCAAGACTTTCCAACTCAGCCCAAGTGGCCAAGACTGTTCTCTACCCCTAGGACCTTCCATGTGCAAGCAGATTGAATGTGAACAAAGGTGGGCCAATCTTTCAGATAATGCTGGGTATTCAACTCTAAGGTGTTAATCCTGGTCTAAGACAGCTTTAGGGCAAAATGCCTTTCTTAAATCAATCACTTTACCCACCTTCACAGGAGACTCACAAAACCAACTTTCTTTAGATTTCTTTGCCACTATGCCCATGAATTCCCTAAAAATCACAAAACAATTAATTTTTAGAAGGTAAAAGTATTGATTTGCCCTTATAAACAGTGGAGCAAAGGGTGTGTGCAAAAAGGTTAACTGACTCTTCATTATGACATAACACAGGCATCTTAAGCAATCAGTGTGTAGAGACATGATAACTCCCTGGGTGGGGATACTGAGTTTAGGGGCAGGGACCATGGCCTGGTCTAGGCTACTGACCAGAAAACAGCCTGAAACAGGAAAGAGCACACATATGCCACTTGGAATGTATGACGCAAACCCCAGCCTTGAAACAAAGAACAGGAAACAGCTCTGCTGGCTGTGCTGGAGAGAAAGCTCAGAGAAACATTTAGCCGGCCCTCCCTGACCCTATATTCATGAGCAGCTGGAGTTTTTTAAGACAACAACAGGGGGGTGGAGGTGTTTGTTCTATGGGTGTGAATAACACCACCAGCTTTATACCGGAGACCTGCCCTATTTACAAATAGGAGCTGCCACATACAGTAAACATCCCAAGTGCACATTTGATTTTATCATCTTCAGGCTGCAGAGACCTTCCAAATTAACCCTGGTCTCCCTCAGATTTCTTTTGTCCCTTTCTGCCAGGTCCCATGGGCTTGTAGCCCTCAGCCCTGACCAAACTGTAGGCTGGGATAACGATTTGGAGCCAGTCAGTGCATCAGGAGGCTCATCAAGAGAAAGCACTCCTATAAGAATCCAGGTTACAACTGGATTACCCCACCGAACTGAAGTTGGACCACTTTTAAGCCTCCCTCAGTCAGAGAGCTTATCTGGAAGACAGAGACTATGGGATATCTAGCCACTTAGAAATTTCATTCTTTTTCAAATGCAGTTATAAGAGCTCTCACTGGTTCTCCACATACATCTACTGAAATACACCTTTGGGGAATGTGATTTTTTTTTTTTTTATCTGTGGCATTTTCATTTACTTCAAAACTGTTATGCAAGCTGTATACTACAGGACCAGTTTTTTACTAGATACTCCATAAACGTCTATTTTTCTGTTTTCCTTTAGGTATTTTTAAGGTAGTAAAGACCAGTTTAAGTCCCATTCCCATTATTTTTCTTAATACTTTGTTAGCCAAGATATAAGTTTAATTCAACTCAGGCTTCCATTATCAGCGATTTAAGGATCACTGTGTAGGCATAACTACAGGTTAAAAGAAAAAAGAAAAAAGGGGAGGGGGGAAGGCATCACTGTACCCATAGCAACGAGATTGGATTTTAATTTAGAAACTTTGCAGGGAAGAAACAATAGCTGTCTTCGAAGCTATGTTGTTTTCTATCACACAAGGGTTGGTGGTCTAAGCAACTACTTTCCTTTGTTAGTCTCCTATTCTGTTCTTCACTGGCATTCTTCCTCAGACCAGTCAAATGGCCTCTACAGTGCATCTTCACGGGCCATAACATTAGGCTGTTTCCCTCTAACAGATCTGCAGCAAACTCCACAGCTGAGAAAACTGCTTTTCTCTAGGGAGTTTAAATTAATCAAACATCTTATTTCAAGTTCCTATTAACTAACACTCATGTTTAAGTCAAGGAAATCACTTGAGCACTCATTCTTTAAACAGTAATACTATCTTGCAAAAATCCTGGAGATGTTTATGTTACAGATATCCCCCAAAACAAGACTTCTCTGGGGTGAAGCAGCTTATCAGCCAAACAGAATTAATTCCCTTATAAGAACGCTCCTCAAATTCATACACAAAACACTCATTATCAACTGGCCTAAGCTTACCTAATTTTGCTTAGGAACAGGATACTCAGTCTAAATGAACTGAGAATACCACTTCATACTTTTTCCCATACACCAGACTCTCAAACTATAACCAATATATTTTAAGTGTCTTGGGTAATATAAAGAAAAAATAAATTCTTAGAATAAAACCTCAATGGTTTCATTAAAAGTATTTATTCTGGTGAAATACAGGTGAACAATTCCCAATGTCTGTTTAAATTATTAAAAGTCTCATTCATACTCTTCAACTAGTACTACTGTATCCTATTAAGTGTTTCTCCCTGTTACCTGCCAAAGAAATGGACATGACAAAGTCTTATCTGTCATCTCCAAGATAATCACTCTGCAATGTTAGGTAGGTCCCACGGGTCCAGATCCGCACCACAGTCCTTCGGCCCCCACCCGGCTCGGGTTCCCTAAGGCCGCAAGCAGTTGCCGAAGGCGCTCTCTGCCGCCAGCCACGCTGCAATCCTTCGCTCCAGGCACTGCGGCAGGTTCTCTGGGAGCCCGCGTCCCCCTAGGAGGACTCTCCAGACCCGGACGCTTCTTTTCCTTTTCTCCTCTGCCCTCAAGAAGCCGGCCGGCCCAGCAGCTCGCAGGCTCCCGGGACGGCGATCGCGATGCTCGTTCAGTCCCAAACGCCCCAAGATGTGACCAGGGGCCCCGGGAGGCTCGGCTCCAAGTTTGCAGGGCACCGGCAGCAGTGGGGGGCCGCGGGCGGAGGGCGGGGAGAGTGAGCCGGGAGTCGGAGGAGGAGCGCGGCCTCCGCTACCTGGCTAGCTCCAACGCAATGGCACGCGGGACTCCGGAGGGAGGGGGCTCGGGAGCGAACGCGGGGGGAGGGGGCACACAGGTGATCCCCGCCTGAGGCACCCCTGGGTCTCTCCATCCCACGTTCCCGCCACCCCCTCCGCCCGCTCCACAGCCGCACTTTCTCAAGCCCTCACTGCACCCCGAACCCCTTCCTCGTGCCCCCCTTTCTCCAAAGGGGATTGAAAAAGAAAAGGAAAAAGCTAGCAGACACTGCGCAAAGCGGGGCGCAGGAGCGCAGGGACTTACTTTGCGAAGCGCGGTGCGGAAACCCGCCGGGAAAGCAAGGCCCGGATCCCCGGCGCCCGGTGCCCCGTGAGCGGGAAGGTCAGCGCGCCAGGCCCAGCGGCGCAGGGTACGGCGAAGAGCTCGGGCGGCGCGGGAGGCAGGGCGGGCGGCCTTCGGCTCTGCGGGCTCTCGGGTCCGCGCGGCTCTGCTCTCAGCTCCCCTCTGGCTCCTTGGCACCAAGTCCGGCCAGTCACATGACGCCGGCGCCGCTCGCTCTGCGAGCCTCCCCGGGGCTGGCGGGGTAAGTAGAGGCTGCGAGCCGGGGTGGGAGGGTCAGGGAGGGGAGCGGGAGCCGCCGCGGCCGGCGGGGCTGGGCGCGGTCCCCACCCACTTGGGTGGAGGCAGCCGCCGGAGGGGTCGGCCGAGTCACAGGCAAACACGCACCCCGCCCTAGCCTGCCCCGCCTCCGCCTCCCGCGCCGCCTCCGCCCCGCCCCGTCACCCGGGCCCGGCCTGACAGACACTCATTATTCCCCCGAGCCGGGCGCCGCCCCGCCGGCCCGACCTGTGCCGCGAGGCGCGGCGCAGCCTCCGGGCTGGGCGTGCGCGGCCCCCGCCCCGGCCTCTCCACCCTAGGCCTCCGCCCGAGCTGCGCTGGGCTGCTGCGCCCTCCGCCCGCCCGGTAGGCTGCGCCCCGCCCCGGCCGTGCTGCTGCCTCCTCGCCACCCGAGCCCCGCGGGGAAGGAAGGGCGGTGCTGAGCTGGGCGCTGCGGGCGTCCCAGGCTGACGGCCCGCTGTGCGGCTTCCGAAACACTCTGGCCGGGCTTGCGGGGGAGCGGAGGCGGGGACCCGGGCCGTCAGACACCGGGGCGGCGGGAAGGGCGTCCCCCGGACCCCGGGCTCCTCGGCCGAGCGCGCAATTCTAGGAGCCGGGCCACCTCCGGGAGAGGACGCGGCGACGCAGGGAGCCCGACCCGCCGCTGCACAGCCTGTGCAGCCTTTGTGTTCCCGGATGCCTGGTCCCTTCGTCCTCCAGCCCATCCTCAGCGGTGGCCCAGCGGCGCCTTCTGCCCGAAGGGACTTTTCTTGGAAAGCCCTGGAGACCCCCCCGGAGGCGTGTACTTCCCACGGGCGCGGCCCCACCGCTGGAGCCGGGCTTGCCCGAAAACTTGGCAAACTTCGGGCTGATCGTCCCACCCAGGGTGAGAGCTTACGCAGCCCCCAGCGAGACTTCAGGCTAGCCCAGGGCTCGGCCCGACGACCTTTCGTGTCTCATTGCTTTCCTGGGAAGAAGAGCACGCGCCTGCTCTGTGGCCTTCAACCCGCTGCCTGCAAGCACGGCGGCCAAAAGGCACTTTCTGTCCAAACCAGGCCTCTGCGAGGAGGGCTTTGGATAGCTTGGTGCTCGAGTCTGTTGCCTTCTGAGTTTCTTTTTAAACAGTATTAATGTAATAAGGAACGCAATAAAAAGAACAAAGGACAAATTGGTTCAATTGTTTTAGTTTTGTGTAATGTTTTAAAACAACCCCGCTTCAGTCTGCAGCTTGTTATTGCTTCAAGATGTTTTAAAGGCCCTTTAAGTTCACCATGCTCGCTTTGATGCTTCATCCAGGCATGGTACTACTTAAAACGCAGTGATACATAGATTCCCAGCCCCTTCATGTAACTACACGGTATAATAAAATTAGAACCCGGTAACCTCAAGCAGTGAAATTGCCCATTCTAAATAGTGCACGTGCATGAAGGTCCATATGGAGGAGAACCAGAACGCACTGCTTCATATGCCATCCTGCTGCCCCGTATTAATATTTAAAATGTAAAGAGGTAAGGGTCACGGGTGGTTTATTTTTTAACTTTTATTTCATGTGTATGAGTATTTTGCCTGCATGTATGTAAAGTGCACCTCATGAGCTCCTGGAGACCAGGGAGATCAGAATATGGTGTGGGATCATGACGACCTGGAGTTACTGATGGTTGTTAGCCATCATGTGGGTGCTGGGAACTGAACCTAGGTTCAACCAGTGATCCTAACTGCTGAGCCATCTCTCCTGATGCATTGGGTGGTTTATTTTTAAATGAGTAAAAGATGTGAGGAAGCCTGGCATGGTGGCTCCTGACTAATCCCAGCAGAGGCAGGTAGATCTCTGAGATCAAGCCCAGCCTGGTCTACATAGCAAGTTCCAGGCCAGCTGGGGCTACAGGGAGATCCTGTCTTGTTCTTTGGCCACTGACCATGAGAGGTTGCTTGGATGGCTTGGATTTTTATTAACTGAAAAAGCAAGTTAGTGATGACTACAGAATTGTTTGCATAGTAGTGTTTGGCTCATAGTAGGTGTTCAAAAGATACGGGTTTCACTCAAGGTGATGTGGGGTGATGGAAACTCGAAACCTATAACCACGGCTTTCTTACATTGTTCACATGGGAATGGATGTGAAGAAGAAAAGAGAGATCCAAGATAAGAAGGGAGTGGCTTTGATATGGAAGGTGGGGGAGGGAGTAGAAAGGCCATTTAAAAAGTTAATTAATGAGCACTTTGTGTGGAGTGCCTTGTGGGAGGCAGCTCAAACGAAACTAGTATTGAAATGCATCCATCCAGTGCTGGGTAGCTCAGTGAGGGACGTGGAAATCCTTTCCGGGCACAAGTCAAAACTACCTGAAGTCATCCTGGACTCCCTGCTCTCCCTAACAATTCACTGAACCCTGCTGCATCTCTAACCATTCCGTGGTGGTCACTACTATGGTCCACCCTGATGCTGCAGTGTCTCTCCTGGTGTGGGAAAGGGAAAGGGGCTTTTCTAAAGTACAAGTCTAAATGTGCCATTCCTTTCCGTGACTGTCTTCAGGAGGAACGTCAAGCTTTCTACTGCTACAGGGTCCTCTGCTGGTACTTAGACTTTCCCTCTTCCCCTCCCCTCTGTTCTGCTTTCCTCCAGCTTACCTCTCACCTCTAGCCATTTTACATGCTTGTTTTTCTAGGTGGAAAGCCTCCTTCCTTGCAACTTTGCCCCCAACTCTTTACTCTCATTTCCCTAAACCATTTATCCTTTAAGTAGTAACTTAAATGATACTGTATCTTCTTGTACCATCATCCCCAACCCTACCTTTGGACAAATTGAGGTGCTGCTCCTAGGTGCTCTGTAGTCCCTCTAATTCTCCATTTGTTATATATACACACATATAGTGGTTTTGAGACAGGGTCTCCTTGTAGCCCCAGCTGGCCCAGAACTTGCTATGTAGACCTCAGTTTCACAGAGGTCCACCAGCCTCTGCCTGCCACATGCTGGGATTAAAGGCATGCCCTTCCTTTATTTATTTACTTATTTATTTTACTTATTTGTTTTAGACAGGAGGATGATCTTGAACTCCTGATCCTCCTGCTTCTACCTCCCAAGTGCTGGGATTACAGGCTTGTACCACCCTGCACAATTTAATAATGCCAGTATGGACTTTTTCATGTGTGTGTGTGTGTGTGTGTGTGTGTGTGTGTGTGTGTGTGTGTCAGAGGTCAACTGAGTGTCTTTATCACTCTCCACCTAATTTTTTGAGACAGGGTCTCTCACTGATTGCCTAGCCTGGCTGACCAGTAAGCCTCGGGATCTTTCTATCTTTGCTTTCAGTGCTGGGATTACAGGTATGGTGTCACATTTGGCTTTTTTGGTAGGTGCTGGGGATCGATTCGGGTCCTTATGTTTGTCCTGCAAGCAATTTTCCAACTGAGCCATCTCCCTTGCTCTGGACTTTTTTCCCCTCTTCTTCTTTTCTGATACTGGGGATTGAATCCAGGGCTTCACATACGCTAGGCAAACGCTCTGCCACTGAAATAAATCCTCAGCAAATAATCTTTCTTTTCTCTTTCTTTCGTTCTTTTGTTCGTTCTTTCATTCTTTCGTGGTGCTGGGGATTAAATTTGAACCCAGGGCTCCAGGCACACCATATAAGCATGTTATCACTAAGCTATACTTCAGGCCAATAATAATTGTTCCATGTATTCTTTGAGGACTTTTAGTCATACTGGGGTTTTGTTTTGAAGCTTGTTTTATTTGTTATGTTTTGTGGTGCTGAGCCCCAGACCCTGGACATTCTAAGCAGGTACTCAGCCATGAACTGTGGACTTTTGCTTCTCTTCTTGAAGTATACTTCAATTCTTCCTTGGAATGATCTTTCAATGGTACTAGAATGGAACTTCTCTGTGGGCAGTGACTGTCTTTTTAGCAAAATGGTCTTTCCAGAGCCTAGCTAATCAGTGGCTGCTTGTCAAATGAATAAACTCATTTTAAGAATTGAGAAGAAGGGAAGGTCTTCCTAAATTTAAGAGATGGGAGGAGGTTTCTGGTATGCAAAGTCAGGCCGAGGGCGTGGCTCCATGGTAGAATAGTAGCCTAGCATACCTGGGACTGTGGGGTCTATCCCCAGCCCTGCAAAAAAGGGAAAAGTAGGGAACAGGGCCCTAAATCCAGGGGCCAGAAGATAGTGAAGAGGAGGAAGAACCAGAGAGCTCCTCTTGCTCAGTGTTCTCAAATACCACAGTGACATGGGAAACAGCACCTAAGCAGGATTTGCTGTCATTTTTGGGTTGTTTTGGCTTTTTTCTTTTTTATAATACTGGGAAATTTAACAGAGCCTCATACATGCTGGGCAAGCACTCAACAACTCAACCTCATTTCTAGCCCAGCCCCAAGATTTTCTTTCCATATTCTTTATAGACAGTCTCATGTAGTCCAGGTGGTCTCAAACTTGCATTGAGGCCACGGAAGATGACTGAACTTCTTAATTCTCCTGCCTCTACCTTCCAAGTCTTAGGATTACAGGTGTGTACTACCTTGCCTAAGTCTTCCTTTATTTCCTTTACTTTTAATTTAATTTTATTTGAGATAGGATGTTTTATCTTTTATTTGTTTGAAGAGAGTCTCATGTATCCCAGACCAGGTTAACCTCGAACTCACCCTACAGCCAAGGATAACCCTGAATTTCTGATTCTCCTGCCTCTACCTCCAGAGTGCTGGGATTACAGGCATGTGCCCCCACTTGAGAAACACCGTAGTTCAAGTTGGCCTTCAACTTTCAGCAGTCCTCCTGCGTCAGTCTCCCTATTGCTGAGATTACAGACCGGGGTGGTACGTTCCCCTGTTCCTTGTTGACAGCAGGCTGGTCTGGTTCAGCTTTGGTGCTCATGCTCAGAAAAGGCCACCCCTCCCTGCTTTCTGCAGAGTCACTGTTGCTCCTAACCAATCATTGCAACCCCACCTTCTGGGCTGGAGAATAGGCATGTGACCTAGTCTGGCCATGGAACAGGAAGGGAAGTATTCTAGGGGCTTATGGGAAATATTTTTCTTCCTCACGACAGGAATCCCCCAGACCTACTTTGGAAATTGTGATATGAGGATGTGATACTTAATCATTCTGTA